TCGCGCACAGGACGGGCTCGCGGGCCCTCGCGGCGGCGGCGGCGTTGTGCCTGTCCGTGCTGCCGTGGACGCGGCTGCTGATGCGCCGGCGGCTCGACGCCGAGATTGCGCGGCTCGCCGACGAGGCCGACGCCGCGAGGGCCACGCAGGAGGTGAGCGCCGCGCAGGAGGCGAGCGCCAAGTGGCTCGTCGACCAGTGGGGGGTGTACAACCTGGGCCGGGGGGTGCCCGTGCTGGTGGCGGGGGTGATTGGGGTGTTCAGCCTGGTGTTGTGAGCGTGCGCTTGGATCGTATGGATGGATGTGGTCGGTGGGTTGTTTGGCCGTTCAGGAGTGTTGGCTTCTACATGACTTTGGTGATTTGGACTTGACGGCTTCTTGTCATTTCGTGTCCTCATTTCGTCTTGTCATGTCTGACTGACTGCCTCTGTCACAGTCTCATAGCACCATGTAGACATCAAACGGGCATTAGGTAAAGGGTATCATTTTGTCTATATCCCGCCGTCTATGCAATCGTACACCATTTTGACTACCCGTCGCTCAAAAATCAAATGCCAGTCATTATAGTGCCAGCAGACGAACTGTCTGTGGTCGAGAACCGAAGATAAGAACCGAAAACAAAAAAACCGGAGAAAATTCTCCTACAGGTCATAGCGTCCCTTGACGAGGTCAACCTCGGACAGCTTGATAGGGCGTCCGCGGAAGATGGCCTTGTGGACGACGAACAGGACGAGGAAGAGGAGCAGCGAGATGTAGGCGGCGAAGAAGTCGCTCGTGCTCCAGTCGATGAAGACGGTGAAGCCGTTGGTCAGCAGGATGAGGACGATGAAGAAGAGGCCGAACCACGAGAGGTAGGGCTGCAGCGGCGCGGCGTAGGGCAGGGTGGCGCGGTCGATGCCCTGGAGGCGCAGGGCGGCCTGGAAGCGCAGGTGGCAGACGCTGATGCAGGACCACGAGATGAAGCCGGCGACGGCGACAATGTTGAGGAGCCAGCCGAAGACGACGCCGCCGTCGGCCGACAGGTGAGGAAGGCGAGGAAGCCCATGGCGGCGGTGACGGCGACGGCGTAGTGCGCGTGCCGTGGCGGTTGGTGCGCGTGATCCACTGGGGCGCGTGGGCCTCGGAGGCGAGGGCCAGCAGGATGCGGCTGCCCGAGTAGACGTTGGAGTTGGCGCCGAGAGACAGCGTCAGGAGGACGGCGTTTGATGATGTCGGCAGGAC